CGCCTTACCACTCCTTCCCTGGCTGCCACGTTTTGCCCTCAGAAATACACAGTCACTCCACATTCCAGTATATTCTGTGAAGTGCTTTGAGACGTCTCACCAACATGATAACAACAACAACAAATGACATTTACACAGTGCTTTTCATGTCAGGAGGATGTCCCAAGGCGCTGGACAGTCAGAAATTTGAACCCGAGCTGAGGGTTGGGATCAGGAGGGGTGGAGGGCAGCGAGGGTGGGGGTTAGGAGGGTGACCGAAGGTGCGGCTGAAGAGGAGGGTCTTGAGATGGGCCTTGAAGGAGGCGAGGGAGGGAGTGAGGCTTCCCTTGCCACACTTGATGTCTGACAGATATAAGGCGCTATATCAAACGCCAGGATTATTATTATTATTATTATTATTATTATTATTAGCAAACTATGAGAACGGGATATTGTCAAAAAGAGCTTTGTTTGGGACTAGCTGTCTAACAGCTTGTGGTGGAACGCTGAGAATTGGGACTTGTTGCCAAAGGAAGATTAAACGAAGACATTTTCTCCCAAAGCCCAAAACATCATCGCTGAGGGATTCAGATCAATGTGGCTGTGTGAGCACCGAGGCTAAAAACAACAGGCTGACATTCTGCATTATTACTGAGCCACTGGCACTAACAAGAGTCTATTGTCTGGGGGTGGGGGCTGATGTGTGGCTCCATTCACAGACAAAGTCACAAAACTTCTAACTCCTGCACGTGGATCAAGGATCTGTTATTGTTTCCATTAACATTCGTCTCTAGTCGGCCTCAGAAGAAGGTGCTCCTCCAACCGTGTAAAATATTAGTTGACCTGTTGAGTTGGACAGGATCCATTTCTGAACAACTCACTTGGAGCAAAGTTGCATCGAAACATGATTGGAAGGTCACCAGATCTGTTTGCCCCCATCTGATCTTGTCCTCTAGCAAGCCCGCTCTCCCACTTCCCCGCCCGAACATCACCCCCATCACGGCATTGACTTGCTTCTTAAATGAGTCACTAAACTATCGCACTGATCTCCCAGACCCCCATCACAGTTGTGCTAGTAGGCTGCACTGGCTTCCTATCACCGAACGGATCGATTTGAAGATCCTCAGACTCGTGCTCTGGCACCTTCCTCCCTCTCCACCTCTCTACCTCTCCACCTTTCTACCTCTCCCACCTGCTCATTCCCCAACCCACTACCCATTGCCTCCGCTCGACTGGCTCCGGCCTCCTGCTTGGCCCTCGTGCTCTCTATTCCACCGTCAGTGACTGCACTTTCAGCTACTACGTCCTGAAACTCTGGAACTCTCTTCCTCTATCCCTCCACCTTGCCCCCTCCTTCCCCATCTTCAGGTTGTACCTGAAGACCTTCCTCTTTGAATGTTGTTACGGTCCGACACCCTGGTCTCAACTACTTTTCCTGGTAACCTGCAGCTCCAGGAGATAATTGCCCTTTGTGCAAAAGAAATACTGCCTGACCCTAAATTACCCTTTGCCCCTGACACCGAGTCCTCTTGTCGTGTTGCCCGGGCAGGTCTAGGTTGATGATTCTGGGTTGACTTTCTAAATCCAACGTCTGAGATGCAAAACCAAGTTCCCTTCTTTACAGAACGGAAGATGCTCCCGGCACACTGGAATAGGATTTAATTTCAAAACATCCTTCCACTTGATATAACACCTTATCACATTGTCAAAACACCTCAAAGGTCTCCACAGGATTTTTACTGTAAAGTGCAGTGACGGTGTCCATTTTGTCAGCAACGTCCCACAAATAGCCATGGGAGCACGTGATCAATTTTATTCGGGTTTTTTGGCCAGGACACCGGGAGAGAGAGAAACTCCCTTTTCTTTTTCAAAAGAGTCGCGGGATATTTGACGTGCACTTAAACAAGCATCCAAAGGGCAGCGCGGCTGACATTGCAGTGCTCCCCCAGGACTGTATTGGAAGGTCAACCTAATCTCACCGATGGCAAGTTTTGCCGAGAGGTTACATGTGGAATTTGACTTCACCGACAGTGATGCTGAATTGGGTCCGAATCCCTCGGAAGTTACTGAAACTCAGCTTGACAATACAGTATGCACAGCTGGTTTAGTTAGCTTCCTCCTGAGTTTTGAGAGAAACACATTTCTGGTTTCCTCAAGTGAACTGGGGGGAGTTTACTGATAAACCACTCATTCACTCACTCACTCGCTCGCTCGCTCACTCACTCACTCACTCACTCACCTTTTCTGGGTGGATAAACTTTGCACATCAAGAGGAGATTATAAATAATGAATAATCACAACAGTAATCCTTTGCGTTTGTTCTCCTCATTTGCGATTACAACATACACAGTCACTACATTTTACAGTGTATCCCGTGGAATGTCCTTCAGTCACCACGCCCCTAACCTCTGGAATTCCCTGCTTCAGTCCCTTCGCTTCCCCTCTCTTTATCTACTTCAAATCCCAACTAAAGACCTTCCTCTTCGACCGTGCTTATGGTCAGCTCCCCCACCCCCGCCTGCCTCGCTCAGTGTCCAACCCCACCACTGTGCAGCGCTCTGAGACACTATCCTGTGTGAAGGGCGCTGTGTAAATGCAAGTTGTTGTTGTTGTTCTCCACCCGACATCAAATTGAGGATTATTATTATTTATTATTACTAAACAACTGCTTTGCAGAGGCCACACTC